AGTTGCTGTAGGTTTTCACCCGATGCCCATATGGTAGTGTCATCAGCAAACAAAACCACTTTCACTAAATCGGAAACCTTGCATATATCATTAATGTATAGTATAAATAATTTAGGTCCCAAAACAGAACCCTGAGGCACTCCACATACAATGTCCAGCTCACTCGATTGGGTGAGGTTAGGTTTAAGCAAGTAGTGATTACAGTTAATGTTAGGGTAAGCCTCCAGGAAGTGATAGTAAGTCAGTGTAATATCCCCTAATGTGATGGAAACATGACCAGGCCTCTCTGTGTGTGTGCGCTTCTGGATACATGTTTTTTGGACAGTTTATGAGAGCAAAAATTTGTGGAAGTGTGCATCCTCCTTTTGTAGTCAGGCTTATGCAATGAGGAGAAGGGGATCTCCAAACTGAAGAACAAATCTTTAAATCTATTAAAAGCAAGAACTGGGACCAGGAGCTTTAAAATATTCACCAAGTTAAAATGTTCAGAAAAATTGTCTCCATCATAAAAAGCTGGCTTGTCTAGCCTAGAAAAGTGCCTCAGTGTAGTTGCTGACATGTTTTATACTTACAGTATGTGCCAGTGTATGTTTGATACGAGAGCATTTCAAAAAGCTCATACATAAGAAGTTCCACTATCTGAATACAGTCACAGTTAATTTGTTCAACTTTGACAATATGGCCAACAATCTTCTGGTGTTTTACAAATTAATGGCATGTAATGTTAAGAAAGAAAGACAACCAGTAACATTTGGCAGGTATTTATTCAGTGACAATTATTACAAGTTATTAACATTACAATGGCATGTAATGATAACTTGTAATAATTGTCACTGAACAAATACCTGCCAAATGTTACTGGTTGGACTAGCAATATGTGTGTTACTGAAATAAACACTGTCTAAAAAAAAAATGCACAGCCCAAAATTTGCCACTTTTTTAGAAAAAACTGCATCATTCATTTTGAGAAGAAAAAGCAAAAAGTCACTAGTGAGCAATGGCAATAACTCCCCAAAATCCAATGTGGGAAAGGTGTAATCAAGGGGGTTTCCAAAGCTATCCAGCCATTAAACAAACTGGGGTATACTGATCCATTAAACCTCGATGCTCAAATCTTACAAAAAGCTCTTTATAAAGTGTTTAGTAAATACAGAGACAATGGAGTAGAAGTGTTTCCCCTGTGGTGCACCACAGTACAATTTACCATGGTTCCTTATTATCCACAACAAAACGATCACTGAAATTTGCAGTCTGTACTGCACATAGCTGATTGGGGACCCTGCCACACACCCACAAACAAATACACGCACACTCCACACACAAACACATCACTGTCTAGCAGTCCAGTATAAAACCCTTCCTATGAAGGTAAGGCTGCAAGACTGTGTTAAACGTCATTCAAGGGCAGGGGAGGTGCAACACCTAACATGGCTCTTGCTGTACTTTCTGAAATTAGCACTGTGGAAATGGATATCACACTGAGTTTATAAACAACATGCAAACATGAAGGAAGTATTGAGTTTTCATTAACTTGGGATCAGGGGACATTAAACATAAACGTTTGTCTCTAATGTAAGTGTCTCAAATAAGGGCTATGTTCTCTCTGCCACTGAGGTAAATAAAGGCTACAGTCACTGTGAGAATTTATGACATGTTCAATAAAAATAGTGTAAGCAGCTTTCTGGGTTAAGGCATTTTAATCTTCAGCATTTATTACTACAGCTATCTGGGTCCCCAGAGCCCTGTAAGTGTCAAAAGATCCAGGTAAATTAACACACACAATACAAGGCAAACATGAATAATCCAACATCTATAACAATTCTAAGGATGTTTTAAACCATACCAATGTGTAAATAGGAGTCTAGTGTCATACGTTCATGGGCGTGTGCACAACAGCACTGCTGTTCAGAAAGATCCATCAGGAAACACTGAGAACACATTTGGCTACTGTTCAGCCATATCTCTGTCTAGACTGGCTTCATGGAACTGCCATCAAACTTAACTCATCTACCTGCACCAACAGAGGCAGGCTGCACATGAAGCGAGAGTGAAAAACATGACAGGCCTTAAAACACTGATGTTGACTCAGCATATTCTATATGTGTGTGTTTATCATCCATGTGCTTTTCTGCTTTTGTTAGAAGTCTATTGTCTGTTTTAGGAAGCAGGCTACAACTTAGCAAATACAGAAAACAGACACATGCACAAACTGTCAATTCTGGGCAACTGTATTGAGAAAAAAAAATCAATACAAGTAGCAACAAACAGTTTGTCTTTGCTTGTTTCTTTTTTTGTTTGTTTTTCTTATTCATTTGAAAAGTCCCAGAGAGAAGTCTAGAGTCTAGAGGATTATTTGCAACAACTTTGCTTGCAGACACAAACATGTAGTTGAGGTTAAACCAAATTGTATAAAATACACACACCCATAAACCCATACACAATGGTTCCACCCACTTGTGTCTGTTATGACAAACAGGAATATTTCTCATTCTTTCAGCACATCCATCACTGAACCCTAAATTTTTTCATAGCCAAGATATGCTGAAGGAGGCATACTCCTTCCTTATCCATGTCAGCTGTCCCATTCTCCAGACTGCTGCCAGTCAGCCAGACGGTCACCTTTGTGCCCGTCCAGACAAGATGAAGCACTGACTGTTACTTTTCACAGTCACTCTCTGCCAAAAAGTCCATGTGTCACATGTTGAAACTCCTCTGTTTTGCAAACACAGCAATGAGTGCACACGACAGGCCAGCTACTAAGCAGTGGGCTCCGGTGTTAGGTGCACTTTGCAAAATGACGGAGAGAAGACTGTGTGTGTCTGTTGAAGATTAATGGACAGCATAGTGGAGGTCAGTCACACTGTGGCTGCATTACTGATCAACAGGACAGGAGCATTCACATACACACAGGGATTTGAAAACTGTCATACACTACACTGTCTTTTTAATTTTATATCTACTTTTAATTACTAATCAGAATAATAAAACATGTCAGTGTGTTTGCTGAAAATGTCTCAAAGGCTTTAATGGAATGAAAGAATGCTTCCTAAAGTCCACTGTCAT